CTTGTTCTGCTCTACCAAAAATCATTTTCACTATGGGTTCAAAATGGAACATATGGGTAAAATGCAGGTGATTGTCTTATATCGTGTAAACAGAAATAGATACACAAAATATGGCACTTCCGAAAAACTTTAAAATATCAATATCTACCTTTCCTACTGGTACCAAAATTAGCAGACATCTCTTTACAGGAGTTACGTTCCTTAAATGACGAGTTATGACCGATTCAAATATTTTTGTCTATCAATTTGAAAACTATTATAGACTGGAAGAAACTGTAATCAGCAAAAAGTGTAAGGAACAAATCTAAAAAATTACAAGTTACATGTACTAGTATAAAAATAATTTATCGACTCCTTAAAGGGGGAAAGGCCATAAAAATACTTTTTTGTCGATCATCTTGATAGCTGTTATTATATAGACAGACAGAAACTGTGAAGAGCAAACACAATCAGCAATTTTAGATCTAAATAGATGACATATAACTGAAAAAATCAATTAACCCACTATGGGAATTACAATTGCTCTTAAACGACGATTTGTTTTCTTTTATTTACTGTGACTTGACTATAGGTGTTGCTGTTTACCTTTACCTATTGTTCAACCAGATTGTAAAATTGACAATTCAATTGGGACATTTAAATTGACAAGTTGCTATTGTGAGAGTTGATGAATAGATGATCAATCATGCATTTAGAGTCTACCTGGATGCTGTCCTATCACTTCACCTGTTCAATTTTTACTGTTGTAGTGAAATTGGAATAGGTCTTTCAAAAGTTATCCATGTGGCATTCAGGCTTCAATTTTTGTCTTTATTGAAAAAACATAACATGCATATACAGTATAAATTAGTATACATTGTATAAATAAAGCTGGAGTATGACCACAAATTTATTTCATGTTCTAAAATTTGTTAAAAACTGCAGATTTTTTTAACAACTCATCTCCTAATGTTTTCATTAGAGATTCATAAAACAGATATAAGAAGATATGGTAAGAGTGCCAATGAGACAACTCTCCATCCAAGTCAAAATTTAAAAAAGTAAACCATTATAGGTCAAAGTACGGTCTTCAACACGGAGCCTTGGCTCACATTGAACAGTAAGCTATAAAGGGTCCCAAAAATTGCTAGTGTAAAACCATTCAAACGGGAAAACCAACGGTCTAATCTATATAAAAACGAGAAACACTAATGAACCACATCAACAAACGATAACTACTGAACATCAGATTCCTGACTTAGGACAGGTGCAAACAGGCCTTTTATAGTCGACTATACGGTATCGGTTTTTCTCATTGTTGAAGGCCGTACGGTTGCCTATAATTGCTTACATCCACTTTATTTAAACTTTGGAGGATAGTTGTCTCATTGGCAATCATACCTCATCTCCTTATTTTTATAAAGGAAATAAACATTATAATTACAGTCTTTTTTTCATAGAAATAAATGTATTCCTTGAAGTAATTGACCATACAATTGCTAAAGAAACACAAAATTTAGAAGGAAAAAGAGATTTTTATTTACTACTATTTCAAAAACTTTGAACAAGAAGAATGTATATGTTTTTTTCTTGCAAGGTATTTAATTGCATGTCATATAATGCACTACTTTTCCTCTTAATGTTTTAATAGACAAATACTATGAGTGCTTGGATTTCCTTTATATTGTTGAAAAGACCTCTTTTATTTCTTTTACTCTTTTGGGAGATAACTCAAAATTTTGTTTTACTCTTGTGGAAATCTTAATTATTTCATAATTTTCATAATTTTCCAGGATTAATAGACACCAGGACACATGTGTGTATTCCTTCATTTAGATATTTGTTCAATACTTATTGACATGGGCCTTATACAAAGTGTTTATGCATAGTGAAAATAAAAAAAAAATGGTTATGAATAAACTTTTATTTATAGACACTGATATTTGATATCCCATCCGGTATTCCAGTTTCACTATTTGAAATGATTTTAAAACATTTTCCTAATTTTATTAACTTTTTGGAATATTTTCTAACATTTTTCACTATATCACTAGATTTTTTTTCTTCATCCAAAGTATTCTGTTTAATTTCCAATTATATATATTCCAATTAAACAGGTGCCAAGTCTTTATATTAGATCCAGAAATTTGTAATTTTTGATTATTTCCAATATCACATTCAAAATAATTATCCTCACTTTATACATTTTTTGGAGTTTTTTTTTCACTATATCACTTGAATTTACTATATCCATAGTATTCAGTTTTTATTTCATTTCCCATTATATATGATACAATTAAACAATATAAGATCCAGAATTTTATACTGATTATTTCTAATATCACGTTCAAAATTGTTATCCTCATGTTATGAATATTTTGGAAAAATTTACTTTTATTTTTCACTTTATCACTAAATTTGACTATATCCACTGTATTCACATGTTATTTCATTTTCTATGATATATATATCCCATTTAAACAGGTGCATCATCTTCATATTAGATCCAGAATTTTATAATGATTATTTTCAAAATCACATTTAAAAGCCACAGAAACATGTTGGATAAACTTATTTCTCCTACTTGCATTCCATTTTTGATTTTTATTTACCTTTTAGATTAACTAAATCCCATCTTATAAAAAGTGAATTCCCTTGAGTGAACACAGTCTTTTTATGCACAAAAATCCTAATAAATTTCAAAGATAAACCTATATGCCTTATACTCCAAAATTATTTCGAATTTTACATGTACATCATCATGTATAAGCCGCACAACACATTTTGAATGAATTATTTCCTCCTTGATAAATTCATGACAATCCATTCTTGTAAAAAAACAAGTCACATTTTAAGAAGCAAAATTATATGGCATCTAAGAAGTGAATTCAAATTAAATAAATTCCACTATGTAATGCACATCGGTTTCCAATTGATTTCAAACACTTTGAATAATATTCCAAATGAAAAATTTGAATAGATATATGAAGAAATGCATAACATATCCATCTGAAAACTGAAACTGAAAACACATGAATTGCTATTTCTCGTCTCACTGACAACTGGACAATACTATGTATAAGGGTACAACACTATTTACATTCATTTATTATTTAAAAACAGTTTTAATTTTCATACATATTGACATACAGTTAGAAAATCTTTTACTGGTCTAGATTTTTGGGTCAAATTAAAGAAATCATCTAATAAGGGATTTAAAACAATGAAAACTAATAATATTTTCTTCCCTATCAATTTTATAATAGAATAACCCTAAGTGAAGAAAAACTTCAGGAAAAAAGCATGCTGTAAGTTTGGGTTAGGTGAATAAAAAAAAGTACAGGTAGCATCAAGGTAGACTCAACTCTAACAATACCAACTGGTCAATTTAAATGTCCCAATTGTAATGTCAATTTTACAATCTGGTTGAAAAATAGGAAAAGGTAAACAGCAACACCTGTAGTCAAGTCACAGTAATTCTATTTTGAAAAGTATCATACATAAACAGAAACAACAAAAATGGTCAACAAAACAAGATCTAAAAAAATGTCAAAATGCATGAAATAATTGATCGATACCTTATATGACGTATTGCCCTTAAATGACATTTTTGACAATTATAGCATTGTTGTCTTTTATTTTCAAAAACAGAAATCTGACACCCCAAAAATGTTAAACAATAACGGATCTATAGAAATTAATAGAAATTTTGTAAATAATCTTGTCTTATGTTAATTTCAATATGGCATATTTTTACTAAAAGAGCGATTAAGGCTCTTTGTAGTATTTAGTTAGAATCAGTCTTTCAATGTGGTGATGATAAAGGAATTAAAAGGAGACAAAATGGTAAAATTACATATGCGCCATATGATATATGTGACGCTGGACTCTATTTTACTTCAATACCAGACTATGAGTGTTCAAAACATAGATGAAGACAATGCTTCATTAAAGAGCAATCTAAAGAACCAACATGTTGGTTATCATAAAATTTTGGCTCAAATGTATACTATTTTTTTGGACTAAAGAATATTTTTTTCGAATATTTGGTAAAAGGCAGAGAAAGGAGATACACGTTACGATTACAATATGTAATAGAATGCTTCTAATCTGAAATAATATCTTTTTAGAAATATTGCTGAGGTTCCTGTTCCATTCCTATAAATTTCAATTAACTTTGGATAATTTTTCACAATTGTTTGATATTTTACTGATAAACTGCAATGTGTGTTTTTGTTCTTGTTGAGATTTTTGTGATGAACATTAAACTAAACCATATGTATGTTTGAAATTAGCAGGTAACTGCATGTAATGGTTAACGTGAGGGTACCCAAATTGAAACCTATTTTGACAGTTTTGTCACCTACGTGTATTTATGATCCAGAAAAAAGTTTCCATTCTGTGTTTATTTTGAAGATGTATCCTTATATACTATATAGTTCAATCAATTTAGTTTTGAATCCATATTGAATCATTGAAAAATTGGTTTGAACCGACCTCCAAACGATCTATGATTCTGTTATGAGGAGTACCCAAATTGCATCCATGCTAAAATTCACATCTGTAAACTGATGTATTGTTTAATTTCTTCAAATATTTAGAATAATTTGCCAAAAGTCCATGCTTATTATTTATTTTTTAAGAAATTGATGCCTGTAACATATTTCAATCGCTCATTTTTAAAAGTTGACTTTTTGTGGACGTCACACGGCGATGTTTCCATAGATTTTACTTTTTGGAGTGAATACTTCATCTGTTGATATATACTGTGAACGCTTTGTGTATATTTAAATATATTTACCTATGTTGAAAGACTTGCATAATTTCAAATCATAAAAACACAAATTGTTTAGTCTCTACGAAAACTTGTAAGATTTCTGTTGCTATTTTTGCTAATGATTGGTGCAATTTGGGTACTCGGAAGAATTTGGGTACTGTGACGTTACATTATTTCAGGATTGTTTAACATAATATCTTATCGTGTTGCATTTATGATAAAAAAAAACATCTTGTCAATTTAGGACTGGGTCCTATGCCATGGACAGTTAATTCGGAAATATACCCAATATGGGCCAGAGGAACTGCAATTTCAATAAGTACTGCCGTTAACTGGATAGCCAATCTAATTGTGTCTTTCACATTTTTGTCACTACTTGAATCCATTACTACATACGGTAAGTGTTTATTATTCATGCTTTCTGTTTTATTTCATTTCACAATTAAATAGATACACAAAATATATTCGCCTCTATTTTGATGTTATCCACAACATTTTTTTTTTCCTTTTTATTAAGATCGAAAAATTTTATGCACAAATTAACGTGGTCATAGCAGCAAAACATTTTGAAATACACAAAGGACTTTGTAAAAGAAAGGAAAATAGTCTATTTTGTCTTACAATAGATTATTCGGAACGTAAACTCGCATATTTCGTCTTACAACGTAACATAACTTAGAAAAAAAAAGACAACAGGAACCATTAAAAGTACTGAACAGTAAAACAGACCACAGCATCCCCAATACAGTTTTTTTGTCGTAAGACAGATTATTGGGAAAAGAAGGAATTTCACTAAACATTGTGTTTCAAAAGTTATGTACTTGATTCATGCTTATGTAAAAAAAATGGCAGAAATCAATGTCTCTTTGAATTTAAAAAGTATATATATAAATAAGTATACGGTGTTGCGATAAGATTGCTAATGAGACAACTGTCCACCAATGACTTAAGAACAAATATGTAAACGACTACAACATCAGCATAAAAAGCATTGATTTTGTACAATTTTACCACTTGATAACTTGATGTGTTTGATTAAATGTTACATGTATAAGATTGTTGGAGACGCAACCGGTCTCGCTCTTTTTGGGGTAACTGTCTTACTTTTATAATTTTATGTTACATTTCATATATTTTACAGGAACATTTTACTTGTTTTGTGGAATATCTCTATTAGGATTGATAGTTTTATACTTCATGTTACCAGAAACTAAGAATAAGACACTAGAGGAAGTTGAACAATTGTTCATGTCGGAGGAGTATAGAAGTCAACACAAGAAATACATGACGTATGAAGCAAAGGATAATCCCGCTTTTGCTGGCGAAAAATTGTAAACAATGAACTTAAATCAAGCCAATTTAGTAACATAGTGTCATTTCAAATATTAGTCGTCAAAACACTCCCAAGTTTTTAAATATTTTTGGGCAGTTTTAGCAGCCATACATGTAACCAGATATTTTTTTTCACTAGTCAACTTGAACCTTTTAATGTAGTTGAATATTAAAAAAAAACCAGAAGCATAACATACTCTACAAAACAGAACATACAAAACTAAGGATTGAGCAACACGAACCCCACCAAAAATCGGGGATGAGCCCAGGTGCTCCGGAAGGGTAATCAGTTCCTAAATTTTAAAACTCTAAGGCTCTTAAAATATATGTTATAATTTGTATACAAGTAGTAAAAGTTAGGACTATTCCTTAGTTTGATGGGTAAATTTTCGTTTTTATATTCTAACGACTGACAGATATGCGCATAGAACGGTCTTCTGACCTGACGAGGGACATATATTTCCCTAGCGCGGTCAAAGGGTTAAAATACTCAATCTACCTGTCAGTAACTATGGGAAAACGCCAATTTTAATAAAGTCCTCGTGCTATTGCTGTTGATAGAACTTGACAATAACAGTTGATTCCTAGGAGTTACTTTTTCTGTTATAATTTATATCTTTTGAACAATGAATTGATGGAATTTGATGCGACTGTCATACAAGTGAGAGGTTTAGCTAGCTTTAAAACCAGGTTAAATCCACCATTTTCTACATAAGAAAATGCCTGTACCAAGTCAGGAATATGACAGTTGTTATCCATTCGTTTGATGTGTTTGAGCTTTTGATTTTTCCATTTGATTAGGGACTTTCCTTTTTGAATTTTCCTCGGAGTTCAGTATTTTTTGTGATTTTACTTTTTGATAGAAACATTTTTCCGACAATTTTTCGATGTCGTTTTTATCCGTTAAATTAGTTTTCTATTATTGCATTAGAATTAATATTTGTAAACAAAGGATAAATATTAAGCTTGGTTTATCCAATGACATCCATCGATATCAGCATTTGGAAAATTGACTGACCCTAAAATAAGCTTATCAATTGTTTCAATAAATGCACAATTTCAAAATCGTAATCTCCTTATTGAATCTCGACATGTCGTTTTCGAAGTTTATCGATAATAAAACAAAAGCTCTAAAAAGAATAAGGAACATTTGTCAAAGATTTACAAAACCTGGAATGAAGTGAGCAACATCAAATTCTTCAGAAGCCTTTGAGTAACACTCGATATGTCTATGTCTGGAAATACAAAGTTATTGAAGTTGCGACCATGCATTTTTCTCATATTCCATTAAAAAACAACAGTTTAGAAAAGACGAGAGAGTTATTTTGTCAGGATTTAAAAGAAGCATACAAAATAAGTGATTTTTGAATTAAAATTCCCCTTGCACACCAAAATGTTTTCTTTGATATAAATTTTGTCTTGTACTACAATGTAACCATTAAACATTTGGGAAAAACCCTTTATTTGGCTGTCTCCAGTAGCCATAATTTGATTAAAAAATAGCACTCATCGTCTGGTAGATACGCTTGAGAGACGTTGCATTTTTCAGTTAATTTTTGTTTAAAGGTTTTTCAATTATCAGCCTTTAAAAATGCAATTAGCGATTAATTTCAGAGTAACCTTTTATATTAAACAGTATGATAATTTTATAATATTTGATAAAAAAAAAGAGTCTAGTTTTCAAATTTTATTCTATTCAATAATTGATTGTTGGATGAAAAGTTTACTTTACGTCAATCTGTTATCGTCCGTCGTCGTCGTCGTAAACTTTTTGATTTATATTTAACTTTGCGATGAATGATCTTTAGATACTAGTCTATCGATTGTGTTTTTTTTTCTTCATGTAAATTAACCAACACGGTCGCCATGGCTTGAAATAGAACGCGATTGTAAATGCAAATAAACTCATCATAGATACGTAATGGTCCTATAACATGAAACTTATAGAGAAAATATTACGAGGTCAAAATTTCTCAGAATTTCAAGGTGTACTTACTTTCTATTGTCAGCAAAATTATCACTAAACTCCTAATTTTAGTACATTTTGTAAATGTCCTTAAAGACGATTTTTACTAATTTCTGCATTTGTTTTAATTACTTAATAACCATTATAGATAGAGAGTACATGGAAACAGCAATAAACATCTGACACATAGATATGTCTCGCCTGTATATAATTTGACAGTAAAAGGCAAAAATTAAAATTTAAACATGTAAAATAGTAATACTTTAACATGTAAATTATGCAAAATGATCAAGGTCAATGAACCATGACTGAAGGATCAGGGCTAAATAACAAATAACTGCAAACGGAATACAATTGACTTATCATAAGTGGTTCTCCTTTAAACAACCTAATCACAAACTCTAACATGTAAACTATGTGAAAGTTTCAAAGTCAATAGACCATGACGGGGGGGAAAAAAGGGGGGGCAGATAATGTCCATGGAAATGAGATGTCCCAATGATTATACAACTGCAGACCAAACATCATTGACTTATCATGAGTGGTTCCCCTTGAAATGACATAATCACCAACTTTAACATGTAAACTATGCACTAATTATTGTCTGCTCATTCCGTTATCGTGAATTCATTTCTCATTTGAATTGTTTCACATTTTTCATGTCCGGGCCTTTTATAGCCGATTAAAACATATGAGTTTTTCTTATTGTTGAAGGCCGAACGGTTGTATGTAATTGCTTACATCCACTTCATTTGAACTCTGGTGGATAGTTGTCTCATTGACAATCATACCACATCTCCTTATTTTAATATAAACGTTTCAAAGTAATAGATCATGAAAGAGGGGCAGGATCAAATAATCTCCATGGAAATGAGATGTACCAATGCCTATACAACTGCATACCAAATATCATTGATTTACCATTAGTGGTTCCACTTAAACTGACCCGATCACCAGCCTTAACATGTAAAGTATACAAAAGTTTCAAAGTCAAAAGACAATGACTGAGGGGCGGGGCCAAATAATCTCCATAGAAATGAGATATGCTAATGCTTATACAACTTCATACCAAATATCATTGATTTACTATTGGTGGTTCCCGTAAAACTGACCTAATCACAAACTTTAACAAATGGTTGACACCGCCGACTCCGGAAACGGCAACCAAAGTGGCAAACAATATTTTCCTCCTCATTGCTTTTTTATGAATTATCATGGAAACCTTATAACAGATAGAGAGAAAACTGTAAACAACCAAAATTATCACCAAGATAAGATATACTAAAAAGTCAATTAACTGAAATTTTTAATGATTCCGTATAAGGGTAAAACGATTGTCACCCATGTCTTTTGAGGGAAAGAGGATGACAGTGTTGTGATATTGCAACCCCTCCCCCGCTAATCTCTTCAGAGCGACAATGTGATCTCTGTTTTCACATTCTTTCTATTCACAGTTTGATTCTAAGTTTGAATCTTAACTTCAAAACTATTAAATTACGTTTATAATTTCATAATTCATCGAAATAGTTTATCATCATATTTACGGTTAATTTAGAATTTAAGAAATTACTTTTAGTAAGTTTTCTCTGATGACAAATATTCATACTCAAAGTTTTACTTAGTCAAGTTACATTAAAAAATAAATATAAGTTTACGAACCTGGTGAATAAAACAAATAGATCAGTATTATCTTTATTTAAGTCCAAACCATACAAATGATACATGTACTTGGTTCTTTAATGTTTTCTATTTTAGACCTTAACACCACTGTTGATTGGACCCATTTTATTCACAAATTAAAATATGTTTTGGAACAAATATATAACGTGGAAGGTATCTGATGATTATTTAATTTACATTTTACACAATTTGGGACACAATTTTAGATTACCTTATATTAGGCTTAATTGACATTTGTGTTAATTCAATTACTAAGTTAGATATTTATTTTAAGTGGACAGTAGGTTAGAACTTTTAAATATTTACTTCAGGAAATGGTTATAAGAGTTTAAACTTTCAAACTATATATATGCTAAGTGACTTTTTGAATCAAATAGAAATTAATTTTCTTAAAGACATTTATATCTGTTCCGGACCATATTCGTATTTGGACCATACTCGTATGATCATTATCATATAGGATAGGAGCAAGAGGACATTGTTACATGATTAAAGAGATAAAGTGAATTTTACTTACAAGTAAGAATTATAGTAACACCACTTTTACATGGTCATTACTGTTTTGTCCTTTCATTTGTACGAAACTCAATATGTCATATGGAAAATAACTTCAAGAAATATCTAAATGAACTCTTAACCAAGAAGTCACTTGCTTAACTCAAATGAATTTTGGTCATTGAATTCTCTTTCTTTTCTTTTTTATAATTTATTTTGGTGCTTTTATTGTCCCCCGCGTAACACGTTGCGGGGGACATGGAAATACCGGGCGTCCGTCCGTCCGGCCGGCCGTGCGTCCGTGTGTCCGTCCACCCGTCCGGTCTTGTTAGCGCTTTCACAGGTACATTTCTTGCCAGATATTTATAAAACTTATACTATAGGTTAATATCAGCAATATCTCGTTCAAGTTCTATAATGGTGGCCGATCAACTTCTTTTAAAAGAGTTATGCCCCTTGGAAGTATTAAATTTATGGAAAATGGCCTCGTTAGCGCTCTCATGTGTACAATTCTTGCCAGATTTTTATAAAACTTATACTATAGGTTAATATCAGTAATATCTCGGACAAATTCTATAATGGTGGCCGATCGATTTTTTTAAAAAGAGTTATGCCCCTTGGAAATATTAAATTTATGGAAAATGGCCTCGTTAGCGCTCTCACGGGTACAATTCTTGCCAGATTTTTATAAAACTTATACTATAGGTTAATATCAGTAATATCTCGTTCAAGTTCTATAATGGTGGCCGATCAACTTCTTTTAAAAGAGTTATGCCCCTTGGAAGTATTAAATTTATGGAAAATGGCCTCGTTAGCGCTCTCATGTGTACAATTCTTGCCAGATTTTTATAAAACTTATACTATAGGTTAATATCAGCAATATCTCGGACAAGTTCTATAATGGTGGACGATCGACTTTTTTTTAAAAGAGTTATGCCCCTTGGAAATATTAAATTTATGGAAAATGGCCTCGTTAGCGCTCTCACGGGTACAATTCTTGCCAGATTTTTATTAAACTTATACTATAGGTTAATACCAGCAATATCTCGGACAAGTTCTATAATGGTGGACGATCGACTTTTCTAAAAGAGTTATGCCCCTTGGAAATATAAAATATGTGCATCGCGGGGAACATTGGAACTCTGTTCTTTTATTATATTAAAATTTCTTAAGTATTTCAAATTATTTTTAGTTATTTAATGTGTTCTTGCTCGTATTTATACGATCTTACAATTACTGAAAAATTGTATGAAAAGGAGAAAGAACACAAAATTCAGTGAAAATAAGTTGAGATTCGAAGAAATTTGGTTTCTGAAATAATAATTTAAACACTAAGAAAAAAGGAAAAAGTTCCATGCCCAAAAACGTCCGTTGTTTCACTTGCGGACGAAAAGGTCGACAAGATAAAACGCTCTTAATTAATTCTAGCGAAGGCAAGATAACAGATACACCAAGATTAATACAATGTGTAAAGATAAACGAATTCAGTAAGTAACTTGAGAATGAGCTATGTTCTCCTGCGAAGGAAGTTAGAATTTATTTGAAAAATACCTATATGGTCTAAATACTCATAGTTAGTAACCAAACGAGTATAATACTCATATGGTCCTACCATACGCGTATTGTCGGATCGTATGGGTATACGCATATGGTCATGACTATACGCAGCCGCTTATGGTCCAAATACTCATATAGTCCGGAACATATCCACGGTTACATAATACTACATTAGCTTGTGGGATAAACATATAATTTTTAGAAGTAACTTGATTGTACCTTTTCAGATGATCACGTGAGCAATTTGTTATATTCATTTGAGGTTGTTTTTTTATCTTTTATATTTTACATCAAATTACCATCATTACATATGTATTGCAGTTTTGGAATTTATCTTGAAAACTATAATAGGAAGAAAGAGACTATAACAGAAAATATCTAACCGTGTATGTCTAAAACACATTTTTGTGAATCTGAATTGATGTTATTTTGTTTGTTTGTCTTGTAAATGTTTTCGTTATTACAAAGCGAACTTTCATTTTTTAAATAGTTAAATGCATAATCAGAAAAAAATAATGGAATCTGCAGATACATGATATATTAAAAACCATACAAACAGCTATTTGTTCTCGTCCTTTGGTATATGACAGATACTTTTTTCATTGGCAATCATACCACGTGTTTTAATCATAATTATGAGTTGTTTTATTAATAATGGTTTTTAATAATGTTGTCGCTTCAATTGAAACGATTCACAAAGATACTATACACATATTATTAGTTACACAGTGTGCTAGTGATATAATATGATATATATGGGGTCAGTAAATTCCATATAGGGTGAGAGCGAAGTTACACATGGAATTTACGAACGAGCAAACAACGCACCATACTTTAAAACATCTCGGTTTAGAAAAAAATCGTCTTTAAAAGTTTGAAAATGCCATCTGTTTTATAAGAAATAATTGTTTCTTGGGCTACCTGACTTATGTTCAGGGAAATTCGTGGCCGAGCTTGGTTAAATGCACCTTGTCCTTCGATAGAAACTCGTGTGAAGCTTGTATGTTATGGTATCAAATGTAACACCCTCAATTATCCCCCATTATTCATAATGTTCAACCCAACATCCAAACACCAATTAAATGATCAGAATTAACAGCAGTATTTTTTTTTCTTTTTCTATACATATAAGTGTTTATAAAATGACCAAACAGCAAATTTAATATGTACCGGATCGTCTACAATAGGCGATACTGCGCAGATAGGGAAAAAAATATATAAAAGTCTTAAGATTTGCGCAACGGTACTAATACATGTATATATGAATGCGCTTGACAATACAGCAATGTTAAAACTTTTCTTGCTATTTATTTTTTAGTTATATATATATATGTATACCAAGAAATTTGTTTTGCATGCACACGTATAAAAGTTGCGGTTTTTATCCAACGCAATCATAGGTTTGAACGTTGTTTTCAATTTAGACTTGTTTATATGTATATATATATATATATATAAATACCGTTTCGATTCCTGACATCACTGAAGAGACATTAATTGTCGAAATCCGGATATGGTGTACCAATTTTTGCACCTCATGTTTGCGGTATACCATCTTTTCCGCAAGTTTATTGTTTTCTGTTTGGTATTAAATTAATAACTAAGATCCATTTTGTTACATCTGGTGATCCGTTTATTTGGCAATCGCCATGGCAGTCAGCAGGATTTAGGAACATCCGTTGTTCGACCTGCTAGTCAAATGCGTTTTGTTAAAATATACTTTTTCACTTTTTTGGTCTTTTTTGTTTTTTGTTTTGCATGCACACGTATAAAAATTGCGGTTTTTATCCAACGCAATCATAGGTTTGAACGTTGTTTTCAATTTAGACTTATATATTTATATATATAAAGTGCCTAGAAAATCAATCTAACGATGTTAGAGTAGATCTGTTTCTTTACTTCCTCCCAGGGCGGGCCTGGAACCTGTACTTTTTATTTCTAACTTCTACGACAACACCGTAGGTGTTACCTTCTCGTAGGAATAAAACAAGGATATCTGATACAATACACGAAGTATTCTTTTAGTGTACAGAAATGATCATCTACTCATCTCTTCAGTATAATTACAGGATGCTAATCTATTTTTAGAAGCATACAATCACTGTACATTATTATATGTATATGTCTGCCTATGTGTAGTGACAACTATAGTGTATATATATATAACAAGTCTAAAAGGGTACAACATCACCAAAAAATAATAATAAAATGAACAAATGTTAAATATTTCGGATAACAGATATCCTTCACCAGTATGATCACGATGTAAAATGAATCATATCAATCTAGACTGATTATAAAACTATTACAATCTTGGAATTTATACAATAAAACAGTTTAAACTGAACATCATTGAAACGCTTGTACAATTCTAATTTTTTTTTAAACATGACGTAGTTAATGTAGCTATTTACAACAGAGACTGCAAAGATATGCTTCAAATAAAAATAGTAATGTGCGATATGAACTGGTACAACTCTAAAATTTCAAAGGTGACGACAGTTAAGATGTTACAACAACGATTGCGTGGAAATACATTCCCAATAAACAGCACTGACCGATCCAAGCTAGTATAATATTTCAAATTTGACAACGGTAGAGTAATTAAAACAGAGGCTGCGTATTTAAACATACCAAATAGATAGCAGTTTGATAATGATTAAAAAAATAATAATAAATTTTGACTAAGGTTAAATAATTGAACGTGACTGCGTACTTATACATCCCTCCCAAATGAATAGAACCCTATAATTTAAACTGGTATAATTAAAAAATTCCTTAAAACTGTAAGAGTCCAGTACAGAAGCCTGAGTTACTGGAAACAAGTGATGGTAGGAAAATGAGTGACCATACTTCCGAGTTTAGTTCCAAAATTATTACTGCGTTACAAACCATGCACAATGATGGTCAAAAAGATGAGGATACAATCAGATATTTAAAACCAGAGAACGCTAAGCTTGGTCGATTGTATCTTCTTCCCAAAATACACATGGTAGACCCATTGTATACGCAAACGGTCACCCGACTGAGAAAATCTTGGAATTCGTAGACTTTCATCTAAGATCTCATATAGAAAATCTTCCTTCTCACATTCAATACACTATAGATTACCTTCGTAAAATGGAATCCATGAACCCTCTTCCTCCGGAAACTCTCCTTGTCACTTTAGATGTCACCTCATTGTATACCAACATACCTCATAATGACGGAATACAATCGTGTAAGGAAATATGGGACTCGCGCAACACTTTAGAACCACCTACCGAATGTTTAGTCCAGCTGCTTACTCTGGTTCTGAAATGCAACAATTTCACCTTTAATGGTGAACATTACCTTCAGATAAACGGGACAGCGATGGGGACGAAATTAAAATGGCACCGTCTTACGCCAATATTTTCATGGACAAATTAGAGAAACAAATCATTTCAACATCTTTATCCAAACCTCTATCTTGGTTCCGTTTCATCGATGATGTTGACATGAAATGGATTGAATCCCAACAAAAATTGGATGATTTTTCAGACATGCAAACAACGCCCACCAGTCAATTAAATTTACATATGAAATTTCCGACTCTAAAATATCTTTCTTAGACACAACTACATCTATAAAGGACGGTGTCATATCAACAGACCTCTACTGTAAACCTACAGATATATAAACATCAGTACCTTTCTCCTCAGAAAAGAGGGACGAAAGATACCAGAGGGACAGTCAAACTCATAGATCGAAAACAAACTGACAACGCCATGGCCAAAAATAAAAAGACAAACAGACAAATAATAGTACAGATGACACAACATAGAAAACTAAAGACTAAGCAACACGAACCCCACCAAAAACTGGGGGTGATGATCTCAGGTGCTCCGGAAGGGTAAGCAGATCAAAACTGTCACCCCAAACACTACAAAAAGTATCCCGTACAGTCAAACTCTCAGAGTAAAGCAGATTTGCTCCTCTGAGGAGGCTGTCACTAAACGGTTACAGAAACTTCGCGGATTTTTGACCAAACGAGATAAGAAATCGGACATAGATAAGGGGTTTGCGCGTGCTAACAATAACAGCCGCAATGACCTATTACAGTACAAACAGAAAAGGCACAGCAAAATAGTTCCGTTTGTTTTAACATACAATCCCGCCTTTACTAACCTTTCACGTTTGATCCGTGCCAATTAGCAAATTATTGCCAAGCACCCAAAATTATCCAAGATCTTTCCCAAACCTCCTGTATTAGCTTTTCGGAGACCAGCAAGTCTAAAAGACTTATTTGTGAGAACTGACGTCTCCTCTAATAAAAGCGCTTCAACTGCAGGATGGTGCAAGTCGTGTGGTAACAGACGATGTCTGACTAGCCAACAAATACTGAATACTCAAACATTTACTTGCCACTGCACTGCATGGGTCTGTGTACACTTAATTTTGCAATGTAACTTGCAAAACCCAGAATGTTGTATACCTTCTTCAGTGTCGATGTGGCATGCAGTACGTTGGCGAGACAGAACAGCCATTCAACAAACGCATGAATGGCCGGCATCGATCTGACTACACCTGCAAGCCCGACCTCCCCGTAAGTCGTCATTTGATATCACCTGGGCACGCCCAAGCTGATCTCAAAAACATTACCATCACAATCATAGACCACAACGAGGGTTGGTCAAGGGCCGACAGAATCGCTCGGGAAAGGTTTTGGATAAGAAAGCTATGGACAGTTTCCTCAGAGAGCATAAATGAAAAAAACATAGAATGAGTCACTCATTTTCCCTACTAACGCTCATTTTCCTACCATCACTTGTTTCCAGTAACTCAGGCTTCCGTACTAGACTCTTACAGTTTTAAGTAATTTTTTAATTATACCAGTTTAAATTACAGGGTTCTATTCATTTGGGAGGGATGTATAAGTACGCAGTCACGTTCAATTATTTAACCTTAGTCAAAATTTATTATTATTTTTTTAATCATTATCAAACTGCTATCTATTTGGTATGTTTAAATACGCAGCCTCTGTTTTAATTACTCTACCGTTGTCAAATTTGAAATATTATACTAGCTTGGATCGGTCAGTGCTGTTTATTGGGAATGTATTTCCACGCAATCGTTGTTGTAACATCTTAACTGTCGTCACCTATGAAATTTTAGAGTTGTACCAGTTCATATCGCACATTACTATTTTTATTTGAAGCATATCTTTGCAGTCTCTGTTGTAAATAGCTACATAACCTACTTCATGTTTAAAAAAAATTTAGAATTGTACAAGCGTCTCTATGATGTTCAGTTTTGACTGTTTTATTGTATAAATTTCAAGTTTGTAATAGTTTTATAATCAGACTAAATTTATGATTCATTTTACATCGTGATCATACTGATGAAAGATATCTGTTATCCGAAATATTTAACATTTGTTCATTTTATTATTATTTTTTGGTGATGTTGTACCCTTTTAGACTTGTTATATATTATATTTTGTAGTGTACTGTATCATAATTTTATGATCCATCGCCCCGTAAGATTTATCGTTGGCTATTATTCAGTCATTTTATATATATATATCCGGATATGGTGTAC